AAATGTATAATTGATATTGTGTAATAGGAAGAAAAGGTCTATAGGAGCAGGGGAAGTGGGAGGGGTAGGGGAAAGGAAAAAAGGGAAAAGAAAAAATATGAGAAAAGGAAAAAAAATGGAAACAAAGTTTTTGCAAATAGGAAAAGGTGGGGGGATTAAGGGAGGGCAGGGGAAGGGGAAAAAAATAAGAACCAAGATACTCATGTAATGGTACAAGATCCCAATGATGTATGTAAATGTATTTTATACCTACAATGTACCAATAAACTTAATTGTGAAAGAAAAAAAAGATGCTCATAATCACTTACTTGATTCCAGATCATAAAATGAGTAAAGTTTCTCCGACTCAGAGGGTGTTTCTTCCATCTGTGAAGAAGGAAAACACCAAAAAACAACTTAAAGTACTCCAATATATAAGTCAATATGGTTGAGAACCTTTAGATACTTCAACAAAGTGTACTTAAAAGATAATTTCCTATATAGTCTTTCTCTTTATCATTTTTAGAGCTGAATTAATCAATAAAACCTTTCAAGTAAAAGCTAACTTGTATCTAACAGTTTTTAATCTCCAAACACAGAGCTTTTTACAAAAAGTTTGCATACTTTTGTATTCTTAAAGCCAGCTATAAAATTTCAGAGTGGCAGCTGGGGGTGGTGGTACATACTTGTAATCCCAGCACTGAGGAGGCTGAAGCAGGAGGATTGCTGAAAGTTCGAAGCCAGCCTGGGCTACATAGTGCAACCCTGTCTCAAAAACCAAAAGTAAAAGTAAAATTTCAGAGTGGCAAAAAAAAAAAAGTTAATAAACAAAAGAAAGAATAGAAAAAAAAAAGAAAGAATAGAGGGCCAGGGACTTAGCTCAGTGGTGCCGCCGCCTGCCTCCCAAGCTCAAGGTCTTAAATTCAATCCCTGGTTAAAAAAAAAAAAGAAGGAAGGAAGGAAGGAAGGAAGGGCGAGCTGCAGGAACTTGTAATAATTTGAGAAAGATACTCATGATAAAGCCTCACCGATCAGTCTAGGCTTCTCCAGAGCAGGGGTTCACAAAATCTACTATTTGGGGCACTATACGAAAATAGGCTGAAGGAACCATTTTCACAAACCTAGGCTATACAAAGATAGATAAGTATCCTTCAATTTATTATTAATTATCATCTAATTAATGTCTCACTGAAAAAACAAACAAAAAAGGATATACATGTCCTGTGCATTAGCTAATAGAAGAAAAGTTAAAAGATAATGTGACAGATTTTTTTTTCATCAGAATTGGCTGTTTTATTATGCAAAATGGGAGATAATGTGACAGATTTTAATTACTTATACCCCAAATGTAGGGGTATCTATTCCCAAAGGGAAATCACAGTGCCTTTCAGGGAAGCTACGTGCTTTTCCACTGCCACCGAGTCCATGATTAATAGAAAAACAAGTTTTTTAACCTTAAGATACTTCCTGGAATAATTTTCATTTTTAATGTGGGTTCAGTTCCAGTCTTAAATTTGAACAGTAAATGCAATACCAAATGCTTTTGTAAAATTAAAATCCAAGCACATTTCATGAGTTGTATACTCACAAGCTTGATGACAACTCTGCCGAGAAGTCTCACAGAGTCAGGAGGATATCTGGGTTTGCAACTTTTAAGGCATTTACATTCTCGCTTGTGGTCCTGCCAAGCTTTTTTCTGTTAAAAGAAGAGCAAGAATGATATTAGAGAAAATAGAAGTTTACTTCCAAATACATTGGTTTTGAACAATGAAAATCATCAATATTACTTTAATTTTAACAGCCTAAGTATAATCGCAACATAGAAAATGAAAACCATGCTGTAATGCTGCAAATGATCCAAGATTTGATTTTTGCCAAGGATGCAATTATTAGGCATGGACATGAACAGCTTCAGCTTCATTCTTGTCCTTTACTTTGCTCTGTGGTCATTACCTAGGTGGCAGATTCCAAAGACTCCAATCATTATGGTTTACTTTACAATGTATAAGACAGTCATTTAACCGCCTAAAAGGGAATACATAGTCAATAAGACACAGTCATTTTAAATCAAAAGAAAGTACCACTTCAAATAAGAAAATAAAACACATATCTCAGAAAAATCAAAATGGAAAAGCTACTCTTTTGAATTTCTGTGCTGCTGTACCAAGTACAGAAATTTCAGAAGGTCTAATAGATTCAAAGTATAAAATCTTTTTGTTTTCAAAGGCAATATAGAAAGGAACTAAAATCATCAAACATCAAGTTTGTTCAGGACTATCTGGGTTTACACCTATGCCCTAGTTTAATCATTAATAATGCCCTTTCTCAGTCTAAAAAGTGTCTGGTTCGGAAAATAAACTATATGGTCACTCAACCCATGATCCTGGCCATGAGCTGGTGTGTCGTCTGACCCTGAGCCAGGTTCCAGGCTAGGAAAGAATGGACTAGAGAGGACACTATGCCTGAGCCTTGGATCAGAAGTATCACAGCACCTTTCACATCCAATCACTGTCATACAAAATAAAATTCAGAGCATCTAATATTTAGCCGTGGTGAGTGGAAAATAGCTACACCACTGTCTCATGCATTCTGCTCTGAGAGTCTGGTCTATCACTGACATGTCTGATGCCCCATTTACTCATTTCAAAGATTGTAAATCTGCTTCTGCACTTCTGGGCTGATAGTTCCTCTATAGGAGAACCCCTCTTGTTTTTACTAGTAGTACAAACATGCAACACACTCCAAAATTGCAAAGTTATTCCAGTTCCTTAGAAACTGTGGCTCAGTTTCAAGTTTAAGTCAGCATTTTGTTATGAAAGACTGCTCCTGTGAAGAAATCAGATAATAGCTTGGTCTGTCTGCTATTTCCTAGTAATCTATATTTTGGAGACATTGTTTATAACAGGTACATCATTTCTTCCATCACCTCTATTCATGGTTGCCTTAGATCACTGTAGCAATCTTCGTAATGTGCCATTTGTAATCTTCAGTATCTATACTTCATTCACTTCTAAATAAGATTGTGCTATATCAATGTAAAGAAGTATAGGATATAAGATGGTAAAGCAGAAACACAAAATGTTAAAATATTGGGGGATCTGTTAACATTTACTTAGCATTCTAAGATATAAACTAAGAAATTAATAATGAACATTTCATTTGATTTTCACAAAGAGCTGACATTACCCTTATATTAAAGATGAAGGAAGTAACGTTCTAGAGCTGGGATATAACTATCAAACTTATGAAATAGGAAGAAAAGGAGGAAAGGGGAAGGGGAAGTGGAGGGGTAGGAGAAACAAAAGAAGGGAATGGAATTAATATGAGAAAATGAAAAACTGGAAACAAAGTCTTTGTAAAAAAGGAGGGATGAAGGGGTTGAAGGGAGAGCAGGGGAATGGGGAAAAAATAAGAACCAAGAGAGATTATGTAAGGGTGCAAATTTCCAATGATGAATGTCATTATATTGTACACCTAAAATGTACCAATAAAACTAATTTTTTTTAAAAAGAAAGCAAAAAATATTTATTATGCTAAACATGGGAGTTAAATAATTACCATAATTGTGCATTATATTTATTTGAGTTGCCTGACAGGCAAGGCAATAAAGAAAGCATAAAGGCTTATATACCTGTCATCTGACAGGATAGAAAACACATTGATTTACCAAGTATTAACTCACAGGAGTGCTGATCAAGGTACTGGACAATGTCTTCCACAGTGGTTCACAATTATAAGAAACTTTCATATAGCTGCTTCTAATGTCAGTACTCACTTTAAGTCATAAAATCAAAATATAACTAAGTGGAAATAAGCTGGTTAGCTAAAAGAGCTAGTCTTGAACTAGCAATTAACAATTACCAACATGTGTAAGATGCCTTCAACAAATATGGTTCCAAGGCTGGGGATTTAGCTCAGTAGTTCCACCACTTACCTTGTAAGTGCAAGGTCCCAAATTCAATCCCCGGTACCAAAAAAAAAAATATATATATAT